GCCTTCATGAGTTATGTCGATAAGTGGAGTGCCTAAATTGTAAATGTATGAAAACCCATTTCTCAGAATCGCTGCGGATCGCGTACCTATGTGAAATGTGTAGTAGTTGTGATACGGGCTGATACGCGCTCGCGAAGATCCTGTAGTTGAGGATATCAAGTATTTTACCAGAGTGCCAAGTTTATTTTCAGAAGTCATGCGTCTTTGGAGGACAACGGTCTCTGCTTTCCGTGATAGCATCGCTACCAGTTTACTATCTGACAAGGGCGTCTCTGCGGGTGTTATTTATAACGGCTTTAATAGCTATGACGTATGAATGCCGGACCGCTACGCAACTTTTGATGGAAGAATTGAGTGTGAAACACCTGTTGACGTTCATAACTGTAAGGCTTGTAGCATACGCACATTTAAAGCTGTTATTATGTGCTAAAAGAGAAAGCGATTTTCAGGAAGCGAAGATGGGGAAAGTCACATACAGTGAGGTTCTTCAAAAAATTGTTCCACGTGACACATCAGACACACTCCTTCGATTCTACAACACTATTCACGATTGATGTCACACATTGTCATTGTTGGGTTATTGTTATTCGTAGGCGACTAGTCTCTTCCCCCTTTTCTGTTGAGGAAGCAGTCTCAGATTGTTTCAGTTGTGCTTCATGTGAAACTTCGTTTCCAATCGAAAGTAGTTCCAAATACAAATATCTAGTTCATACCGTTGGGCACGGTATATCAAGCCGGTAGTGCAATTCTAATAAATAGATATTCTAAACGCGATTTGTTTGTTGTATACTGAGTGTTCCTAGCCGCTCTATCTCACATTTTGACCATTAACATTGACAGACGAAGAGAATGGGGATGACAAATTTCAGACAAAAGGCGGCTGTCGTCGCATGTTAGATACTGCGGAGCTCTATACCGCCGTTGAGCGAGTGTTTAGTTGCCCAGTGAAAGCATCGACTGGAGATTTATCAAAAGCATGTCGTTTCTGTGCCACTGATGAGCAATCGGTTCAGGCATTCGAAGGGGTGCAGGTACGGGTGTGATTTATGATGTTGTTTTGTTCGCTGTCGATACTGTGTCGTGTCAAAGGCTGGGTCTGGCGCAAAGCCAACCCATTCTCTAGTCATTGTAGAAGCGAGCGAGCGACGATGGCTTTTGGAATAAGGGCCGATGATAATCCAAATAAACCCCCTCCCTGACACGCCCCAGCATACGCAGCGAACAAGGCAAAGTTTCTCTTCAATTCCATGTTTATTGCAGCGTAGTTCCCAGCGCGGTTGCGATTTTTGCGGTTATTGGAAGCCATGAAATCGTGGAAATCTGATTTTGACCTCTGGAAACGACTATCGCATCCAGTTGATGCGAAACCGCTCGGTGCCTGCGCCGCAGCAACCGGCGCGACACCGTACCTCAAGATTCCTCATCAGCTTCGCGGGAAACTTGTCCCCAGGGTAGTTTGTCTTGTCTTACCTTCGCGAGAAACTTGTCCCCAGGGTAGTTTGTCTTGTCTTACAATGTTTCCCTAACTGCCCTGGCACTCCGCTTAGCCCAAATCTGCTCGAAGTCTGCTTTATACGCGCTGGGGTCAGAGTATTCATGTGGTCCGTCGCCTATAACGCAGGCGCTGGACTGTGTGCTGTGTGCAAAAC